GTTAGTCCCCCTTGGGGTGGGGGGCAGTTATACGTCAATCATTGTAATTGGTTCCCCCTTTCTCCTCTTATCATCCCCCTACCCTCACGATATCACTCCCATTATAGTTCCCATTATAGTTCCTGAGGGTCACCTGTCCTTGGATGCTGAGTTAGTTAATTGTGCCAGCCTGGCTGATAATCACATGTGGGGCTAATTGAAAGACGGAGGGATAAATGGGTGGTGAGCCTCACCTTTGTTGTTCTCGGGTCTCTTGTTTTGTGATGGTCGCACTGGGTGCAGCTGCCTTAGCAGCTCCCTGCTTCAGCTTGCAAGATTGACGTCCTACAAGACATCTCCAAGGAGAAGCCACATGGACCTATCCCGATGCAGCCCTGGGTGCTGGAGCAGCCATGTGGAGACCCCTGCTAGTGCTGAGATGCTTATTCGTTTACTGACTCAGCTTTCCTCCTACAGTCGGCATCATTGCCTCTGTTTTGTGAAGTAGAGGACTTTGTGGACTGGTGTTGGGTTAATGGGTTAATGTTGTACTTGTGGGCTTGGGCAGCATTGGGTTGGGATGTTTTCGTGATGCACGTTTCCTTTACATAAAACTCTCTCTTATACATGAGTCGCTGTGGATTTATTTCTCCAAAGTACCCAGACTAATACAGATGCCCTGTGTGGTGAGCTCTTTCTCTGTACCAGTGCACATGGTCTGGTCTAGTTGGATTTGTAAGGTAGAACTGGGGTCCTGATATTTGGGGGGAGGAAGCACTAGAGGAATGTTGTATGTTCCATAGGTGCTATACTGCACCCTGTCTCTTCCTTGGGACCCTTCTGTGAGAGGATGTCCAATTGTCTGTGGCGGGCTTTGGGGCTCTACCCTGCTCCCTACCCCCCGGCTTATTCCTTTTAAACACAATTTACTCACCACAGTGCCTCAGGTTCTGAAGTCCCCACTACAGCTACAGGGATACAAAACTTTGGGGAAGACCAGAAGGTCCCACCGCTGCACTCGCCCAGCCCAGCTGGTCCTCACTGCTGCTATTGCGGAGAGGACTTCCTGGGTCCATGAAAACAGACAAAGCTCAGGCAAAGCAGGAAGCGGAGGCTCCAAGAACCCCCTGGCCTGGAGACCCATCGGAAGTGCAGGAGGTTGTTTGTGGCAAAGCTCAGGCTCTAAGAAGCCCCATTCAGGGCAAATGAGTAGTCATGGGACTGTGACTGCTGCTTTTGATAACAAATACTGTGACTCCATTTATTGTTCTTCCCAAAACACAAGATCTGTTTCTTGATCTATAGGAAAAAATGCTCGTGGAAAAGAATTGTCCCAATATTGAAATATAAGTCGACGGTAAATGAAAGTGGAGTTTCACATAATCACCTTAAGTAAATAATCCTAATAATTAGCCTCATAGGTTTGTTAGGTGAGAATGTCCTAGTTACAAGTATTAGCCAGAAGCCTAAATGGTTGATGGCACATTTGCTTAGCTAAGTAGATGGAATCTTTCAGGATAACAGTGATGCTAACTAGTGGAGCTGAGTGAGACTGGCAGAAACTCAGAAACTCACATGAAGGCTGCCCAGAAGATTGGTTAGGTATGTGAAGGAACTTGGAGTTTGTCTTCCTTGGTGATCAATGCCATAAACTGTAGCCTGGAATTTCTGTACCAAACATAGTATGAGATCTTGGTTTGTTCTGGCAGGATTAACGGAGCAAAACTAGATAAACTATAGGATAGCCTGGACTCCGGCGTTAAAACCAAACTCACTGCCATGAAGTCGATGCCAACTCACAGCAACCCCATAGGACAGGGTAGAATGGCCCTGGTGAGTTTCTGAGCTGTAACTCTCTATGGGAGTAGAAAGCACGTCTTTCTCCCTCAGAGTGGCTAGGGGTTTTGAACTGCTGACCTTGAGGACTGCAGCCCAAATGTAACCGCTGTGCCAACAGGGCTCCTTCTGTCATCCATACATATAGCCTTCTGCAAACCAGCTGTTTAAACTTTAAGCTCTGGTACCATTCCCTCCTTGAGATTTGGTTTTATTATTTACAGTCCTTGGATCATAGAGGCTGGTGTGCTTCTTCCAGGTGGACTTAGTTGACACCTCACCTAGATAGCTGCTTGTTGGAAGATAGCCTTTAAGGCCCCAGGAACTATTCTTTCCGATAGTCGGGCACCATCTGGCTTATTCACCACACTTTGTGCCCACATCTTTAGTGATCTCTTCATAAGGGTGAGCATCAAGCAGGACTATGTCATAAGAACTAATTGCTATTAGTTTGATCCTATTTTTGCCTCTTTAAATTGCTCCCCCCAAATCATGACTCTTACAGGGAATCCAGGACAGATAAGCCCATCAGGACCAATAATGAGAGTAGCGATACCAGGAGGGGAAGTGGAAGGTCGAGGGGAGAAAGGGGAAACTGATCACAATGATCTACATAGAACTCCCTCCCAGGGGGATGGACAACACAAAAGTGGGTAAAGTGAGACATCAGTCAGTGTAAGACACACAAAAATCATGATACATTTATAAATTATCAAGGGTTCATGAGGGAGGGAGGGCAGAAGAGGGAGGGGGGAAATGAGGAGCCGATACCAAGGACTCACGTAGAAAGAAAATGTTTTGAAAATGATGATAGCAACAAATGTACAAATGTGCTTGACACAGTGGATGGATGGACGGATTGTGATAAGAGATGTACAAGCCCCCAATAAAATGATTTTTTAAAATGAGGACTCTTTGGGGAAAACTTTATGTTTTGCTGTTGTTGTTATTGCTCTGGTCTAGGAAGTTACAAACATCTGTAGCAAGAGTTCTTTGTTCTGGCTGCATGTTAGAATAACCTAGCAAGCTTTAAACAATCAAACCAATAATGCCTGTGCTTCAACTTCGTCCCATTCAATAAGACTCTGTAGGGGTGGTGTCCAGGCACCAGTGTTGTTTTGGAAAAAGTTCCCCAGGTTATTCGATAAAGATACATCCCAAAAAGTTGCTACAGTTCTACCATTAATTATGGTGATGACTACACCAGTCGTTTTACTATATCAAAACCATTCACTTGTATGATATGGCAATTATGGGTCAATACAACTGCTTTAAAAAAATTTAAGTGGAGGGTGGTGTGGAAAATGGGAATCGATTACAAGGATCTACATATAACCTTCTCCCTGGGGGACGGACAAAAGAAAAGTAGGTGAAGGGAGATGTTGGACAGTGTAAGATATGACAAAATAATTGATAAATTATCAAGGGTTCATGAGGGAGTGGGGTGCAGAGAGGGAGGGGGGAAAATGAGGAGCTGATGCCAGGGGCTTAGGTGGAGAGCAGATGTTTTGAGAATGAGGGCAATGAATGTATGAATGTGCTTTACACAATTGATGTATGTGTGGATTGTGATAAGAGTTGTATGAGCCCCTAATAAAATTATTTTTTAAATTTAAGTATTACAACAAAATCAGAGAGATTTATTAAACAAAAATACCAAAATGTGAAACTATTGCTTCTCGACATATCCCACACTGTGATGATGAAGGCTGTCTGTCACCTTAGCTGAACCGTGATACTCTGGTTTGACCAGAATGAAAAACCAACCCACTGCCCTTGAGTCAATGCCGACTCTTGATGCCCTGAGGACAGAGTAGAACTGCCCTGTGTGTTTCTGAAACTATAACTCTTTACATGAGCAGAGAGCTGTGACAACCTCCCCTGGAGCAGCTAGTGGTTTCAAACTGCTGACCTTGCAGCTAGCAGCCTGACTCGTTATCACTGTGCTACTCGGGCTCCTCTGTGATTTGACAGTCACACAATAATATAATGTGGCAGTTACGCAGTTATGTGCTCTGAACTGATGTAAGGGGATTACGTGGGATGCAACACCTTTAATCTGGCCACAGTTCTGATTGGATGCAAAGGGGGGAGGGGGCTACCTTAGATATTTACAGACAGCCTACCCAGGCTCTCTAGCATTTTGTGTGCTCTGGATCCTGCATACAGCTCTCCTCGTCGGAACTTTTGGTTTCTGGATCTTGAGCGAGCATCCTGCCACATTGCCTGCTAACCTTTGATTTGTTATCCTCTGCAGCCTATGAGCCAGCATTCTACTGTCTTACCAACCAATCTTGGGTTCATCAGCTTTGAGAGGAATGAATATATATATATATATGGTATTGCTTCCCTAGTGTGGCAGTTACATAATCTGGTGTCAATTTAAAAGGATTAGGAATAAAGGGATGGAGTCTGATCTGTCAATCAAGATCTACCCAATGAGGCCTCTGTGTGGGCATGGCCTTCTCCTGAGAATTCTGGGAACCCCTGTATTTCCTCCTTGGAGACACTACTGACAAGGATGATCCTGCGAGACATCCCTGAGGAGAAGCCACATGGACCTATCCTGATGCAGCCCTGGGTACTAGAGAAGCCACGTGGAGACCCCTGCCAGTGCTGAGATGCTTAAAACACCACTGGATTCACAGGACTTCCCACCCACTGGCCTGTGATCTTCCTGCATTGAGCATCATTGCATGTGTTTTGTGAGCAAAAGAGGACTTCACAGGTTGGTATTGGACACATGGGCTAATATCGGACTTATGGACTTGATCTGGACTGGGCTGGGATGTTTTCTCAATATTCTACTGCTCTTGTATATAAAGCTCTTTCCTTTTTTAAATTTTTTTAAGGTCTTTCCTATACATATGAGAGTGTCCATGAATTTGTTTCTCTAGTCTACCTGGACTAACACACCTAGAGAACCAAGAGAAGTGTGTGTGTGTGTGTGTGTGTGTGTGTGTATGTGTGGTTGGTTTGGCTTCTCTAAGACATTTGGTACTAAGAGTGTTTCTAGGGGGGAAATATTGTAAAGATCAATAGATCTAAAATTGGTTCTCAAGTATAGCGAGTCTCAAAGGCCTGGATCACTTTTCCTCCAGTAGTCAAAACGGCACTACTAGTTCATGGCATAAGGTGGCAATAAAATATGTAAAATATCACCATTAATGGATTAAATATGTGTTGTGCTTGCTTCAGCAGCATATATACTAAAATCGGAACAGTACAAAGAAGATTAGTGTGGCCCCTGATCGAAGAGGGCATGCAAATTCGTGAAGTGTTGCATAAAAAAAAAGATTAATTATTTGTGAAGGGTAAAGGCTCTGGGTGAGTACATTTCGGATATTTCTCTACCATTGTATCAGAATGAGAAGTTGCGATCTGGCTTGCGGTCCCACTTTCACTAGCCAAAATGGCAAAACAGAGAGATGAGCTCAGGGCTTCTGAGTCACAGCTCCAGCTCTGTAGAAGAAACCTGTAACTTGTCCTTCATGCTCTGAGGGACAGGCGTGTGTCCTGTAGCAACGGAGCTGGTACTGCGGAAAACCAAGTCCAGAATCTTAGAGTGGCTGAATTATGTGGCCAATTATGCTCAACCTCAAACTGAAAATTAAAGCAAGGGCACTGATCAGGAAAAAAAAAAAAGAAAGCCTGAGACTTGAGATGGGGACAAATGGGCAGATAATGGAGAAGATGGAATCCACCCATGTTCATCACAGCAAGAAGACGCACATGATCTCATCGACGCTCCCAGGTGGGAGAATGGATAAATGAGCATCGATACATACACACCATGGAATACTATGTATCACCAAAGAAGGATGAAACGGAAACATTTCACACAGGCACCAACTTAGAGGAAGTGAGGCCGAGCGACGTTCATCAAACACCAAAAGGACAATTACTGTATGATCTCACTGTAATTTATTTCTCATCAAGCAAACAAAATAGACTTTGATGGCTCCTGGGGTGGGAGGGGAAGGGTGGAAAGAGGAACATAAGGCTAGAGGGGAGAGAGGTGTCCACTGTGGTGAAGGGGAAGGCAAGATGCCACAAGGCAGGCACGGGGGACGAAAGCTTGGGGAGGGAAACCAAACAGACCAGTGTAAAGTCTCATACGTTGTTGAAAATGCTGAATGCAAAATGGTGACCTGATGTATAACCCCCCCACCTAAGTCACAATTTTAAAAGGACATGTGTGTTAGTCTGGGTACTTTAGAGAAACAAATCCACAGAAACTCATGTATAAGAAAGAGTTTTAGATAAAGGTTAAGTGCACATCAAGAAAATTACCCAACCCAGTGCTGCCCAAGCCCACAAGTCCACTATTAACCCATATATCTAACACCAATCCACAAAGTCCTCCTCCATCTCACAAAACACACACCATGATGCAGGAGGAAAGCTGAGTCAGTGAATGTGTAAGCATCTCAGCACTGGCAGGGTCTCCACATGGCTGCTCCAGCACCCAGGGCTGCATCGGGGTAGGTCCATGTGGCTTCTCCTTGGGGATGTCTTGCAGGAAGTCAGCCTTGCCAGTTGAAGCAGGGAACTGGCTAAGACAGCTGCACCTTGATCCAACCATTACAAAATAAGAGACCCGAGAACTAGAAAGACGAGGCTCACCAAGCCATTTATCCCTCCACTCTTCAATTGACCCCACATGTGTTTATCGGCCAGGTTTGCCACAATGAACTAACTATATCAGACATGACACCGTACCTCCCGCCCCCCCAAAAGAATATGAGAACACATATTTCAGAAGATGGTTTTCCATCTTTTAAACTGGTGGTTTCAGCATTTGGCCTGCTAACCTCGAGGTCAGCAGTTCAAACCCTCCAGCTGCTCCTCAGGAGAAAGAGGAGTCTGCCTACTTCTTTAAAGATTTAGAGCCCCACAATCCCTGGGGAGCAGCACTCTTCCCATAGGGTTTCTATAGGTTGGACTTCACCTGATGGCAGCAAGTTTGGTTTGGGGTGAAGCATTCCCCCAAGAATGCTGTGCTCTCTGATTTACACCATGTCAAAATGGCATAAACTTTGACAGACTTGAGGGACTCAAAGTGGGTTCCTCTTACATGTTCTTTTGGGGTTTGGGACTAGAAAGAAGTCTGAAGGGGTGAGATTTGGACTGTAGTATAAAGAGATTCCCTAAAGAAATTCTCATAGGATAGCCTTTGCTAGCTGTGTTCTGCTGGATTTTCTAGAAAAACAAAATCAGTGCCACTCATATGTATGAAAAGAGTAGCTGATACCAAGGGCTCAATAGAAAGTAAATGTTTAGAAAATAATGATGGCAACATATATACAAATATGCTTGATACAGTTGGTGAATGGATTGTTATAAAAGCTGTAAGAGCTCCCAATAAAACGATCTTTTAATAAAAATCAAAAACAAAGATAAGGTGAAAAAAAAGAAAGAAATGTATTGGGGTGGGAAGGTGGGGTAGGGAGGGAAAAAAGAGGCGCTAATAACAAGTGCGCTAGCAGAAAGAAAAGGTTTTGAAAATGATGGCAACCTATGTACAAATGGATTTGATACAATTGATGTATGGGTTGTTATAAGAGCTGTAAGAGCCCACAATAAAATGATCATTCATTTTAAAAAACATTTAAAGAAATAAATGTATTTCAAGGAAGCAGCCCAGCCTAATCCAACCCAGTCCATGCATCAGATGCTATCTGGGGGTCCCTCAGGACTCCCAGCTGCCACTTGACGAAGCAGGAAGACAAAGGGGAAGCTGAGAGGTCACGGCCGGTGGGTGCTTCAAGGTCTGCAGAAACGTGGCGACTACCGACCAATCAAGCCGGAAGGAGAGGGGCAAGTGAGAGAGACCAACTCCCCACCAGGTCTCCTATAAATAGGCCACACCCCTGGGGATATGTCATTAGGCTGTGACCCAATTGATAGGTTGGACTCCATGTCTATCTTCTCGGTATACCAAGTCGACAGAAAAACTTAACCATCACACTACCGTCAAAGAATGACCAGATCCATTGTAGTGATGGGGGAAAATTCCTTGGTGCTACTTTCCTGGCCTCATCAATGCAGTTTCTGAATCTCTAAAACTTAGTTGTAAAAGAAAAACCATTCTATTCATCCTCCTAATCCCAAATGTGGTCTGATGTGATGTATAGAGATTAGGGTAAGATTCATACCCTCAATCTGGTAACAGGGAGTCTCAAGGTTTCCCCTTTGGAATGCCAAAAATGAGTTGCCATCACCTTCTGAGCTGTCCTCTCTGCCCTGAACTTAGCTGACCCAAGAGATTCCCTCAAAACCCACTATTTTCATGGGACCTTGCACCCTGAATCATGCTGGTAGATCCAAGACGCATCCCTGGTTGCCATTTGTTTCATAAAATCATCTTTTTTAGTTTTTATCTCGTGGAAGGGACTGATGGAAAGATACGCTCTTGAGCTAGCTCATCTCCAAATAATGCTTTTGGCATCCATCAAGTCGAAAGCTGGTGAAGGCCAAAACTGGCAGTGCCGAGGGATGTGAAACCCCCACTGTCCCCAGACATCACATCAATGGTCTCCTTCAGTCAGGTTTGGGACTTGAGCGCCAAAGTTCTTTCGTGCGTTTACGTTGATGGTCTTCCTTCCTTAAAATGCTTGAGGCACCCCCAACCTCAAAATGTTGTTTTATGTGAGACAGTGTTCCCGTAAACTTGTTGCAAACTTTCGATGGTTTAGTAAGATATCAACTTGAGTTTTGTTAACATTTGGTATGAGCCCTGCCCTCAAAATCGTTTTTGCTTATGGCACAACAAAGTATCATTTTTCTTGAAGGCTCCCCAGTGAGACTTGGAGAAGTGTTCTACTGAGCGAACACGTCTGCAGTCATCCACTGACGCCGCAGGGCGTGCTTAAACACGTCTTGTTTAGAATAAACTCACACTTGCAGGAACTTTTTAACTTACTCCCCGCCGTCCCCCATGTGCTATCTGAGTGAAAACTACTGCTCTGGAGTATGTTAAAACGTGGATCAGAGTAGCTTTTGCACATGCGCGCTTCCCTTAAGTGTAATGATACTAATGTGGTTGTTCGTTGCTGACGAGTCGCCTCTGACCCATAGCGACCCCCGTATACATCCTCACAACTGTTGCATTGCGTCAACCCATCTCGTTGACCCTTAGAGGGCTGACACTTACACAAACTATGACACTTACGGTCTTTCTCCAAGCACGAGAGGAAACAGAGAAAGAAATTCTTGAAATAAATCTCGAACTGGCTCGTGTGTAGAGGCCGAGAGTCGGCGCGGAGTTTGGGGAGCCCCGGCCGGCTCGTGACAGAAGGCGGGGCCTAGCGAGGCCACACCCCTGCCCGGTCAGGTCCCGCCCCCTGCGCCGCCGGGACCGGGCGCACGGAGTCGTCCTGCTGGCGCCGCGGGCGGCGGACTATATTTCCCACAATGCACCCCGGGAGCGGACCGGGCCGGGAACCTGGAGCCGGGCCTCCGCCGCGAGAGCCGGGAGCGCGCTGTCTTCCTGAGCTGGCTGCGAGCAGAGGGGCGGCTGGAGAACACAGTGTCCGCATTGTGGCCATGTCTGCGTCCGCAGGGAAGCGTGGCCCCGCGATTCTGCGCTCTGAGGCGAGACCGGGCCGGACCCTCGTGCCCCTCCAAGAGCCCAGCAGAGGGCTGTGACCAGCACTTTCTGTGCGTCCTGCACCCCCCCCTCAGCCCCCCACTGGAGAAACAGGTGAGTCGGACAGCCAACCCACGTGGCCTGGGGGCTCTTGAGAGACCCGAATGTTCTCATCCTTGGAGAAAGAGGGCTTCCAGCCTGGGGGCCCTGCTGTCTACGATTTGAGGACTGGGTCTTCTTCCTACATTCCACTAGCACCCCCGTCTGGGAGATACAAAAGGCAAGGCCTGGAACCCACCCTTTCGGAGGGCGAGGTCCTTCCTGGGACTGTGACCCGATACCACCGCTCCTTAGGGCACACAGAGCATCTTCCCAAAAAGCTTCCGAGGGGACAGTGGGGTGAGCTGTGCAGCCCTTAGGAAGACCTGGAGTGGGAGACGCTGCTGTCAGGTGCCCTGGCCGGGGAAGTCTGAAATGCCTCTTTGATCAGCTGGGTCACCCTTTCTGGACTCAAGTTTGCTGGGAGAAAGTGAGCAGCCTTTGTCAGAGAGGGGAGTGGCTGTCAGCAGGGACGAGGATCAGGCCGTGTTCTCTGCCTGAAGGAGTAACCATCGCTGAAGAATCCGCAGGGCAGACAACCTCACCCGGGCTCTGTCTGCGGTGTATCCACCACTATTTGCTGTGCCCCCCTCCCAGGTAGACCACTCCCGGAAGCTTGAAGGTGTAACCTGAACTAGGGAGCAAAGGTTGTAGAACCCAGGAGGGTGGGGCCCTTGCATGCCCCTCCCCCTTCTAGTGTGAGCCGACTTGCTTGGCTTCCAGGCGTCCTAGGAGCACTCCTAGGGGAAGTAGCAAGGTTTGAGGGCTCCCAGAGAAGTTACATGAGAAGAGTCGCCAGGAGGGAATCTGGGGCTGGTCCCAGTGGACCTCACCTTGTCCCACTGCTCCAGGTCCAGCCACCCAGGAGTGTCAGCCACTCAGGCTATGGCATCAATGGAGGATTGGGGTGGTTTTGATGTGGGTCACTTGACTCCCCTACCTGAGTTTCCAGAGTAAATGTCCAGACAAGAGTTTTGTGTGATCTGAGCTGCTGCCTAGTAAGCGACCTTGGAGATGCTAAATGATCCCAGGTGACAGGAGACATTCACTGGCTCCCAGCCAGCAGAACCTGCATCTCTGATGTAAGTGGCCTAGCAGATGGGCTCGACCAAGGGAGGCCCACAGGGAACCAGGTGATAGTAGTCCCTCAGGTTAGTAGTATAGCCCCTTGGATCTCTGAGCCAGAGGTGCAAAGCCATAGGTCAGGGACATGGAACAGATCAAGGAGCTGAATTCGGGAGAGTTTTCCTGAAGCAACCTAGAGCCAGTAGTTTGTCCTTGCAATTCAGGGAGGTAGCTTAGAGGAACTCCTAGCCCTAGGGCCATAGGTAGCTCTTCAGCCAGATAGCACAGGGTGGGTCACTAGGCCACACACACCTCTGGCTTGAGATCAGAAGCATGTTTCCCATAGCCAGTTCACCCAGGGCCTGGCATAGGCTGAATAAACTCTCAAAGCATTGATTCATATGGCAAAGACCACTGGATCAGTCTGTAAGGACAACCACTCTTAGCATGAATGCTTAATGAGAATAATAGTGATACAGTACTGGTAGCAACTAAGTATATATACCTACTGTGGACTAACCAACCCACTGCTATCGGGTTCTACCAATCTTCCACAACCCAAGAAATTGGCCCTATTATTATTATCCTCATTTTACAGATGAGAAAACCGGGCCAGGCCGACCCAGATGCCTGTGATTCCAGGGTAGTACTCCTGAATATGGGAGTTCTACTAGGCACAAGTGTCCCCACAAGCAGGGGATCTCTTTCCAGAGACCACCTTCTAAATGTGGAGACCATGCGGCTCAGCCTCAGATCTTAGCTCTTCCTTCCAAATATGTTTATGTGGCCAACATGGATTAAACTATTGTGTGAGGAGCTGGTCATTGTGAAAGCGCGCCTGGTCACAGGGTGACCTTTGATGGAGAGAAAGTAGAATGGGAGGGTAAGGAGCATGGTATTGCAGAAAGTTGTCTCTGATAAGGTAACGCTGGTGCGGAGACCTGAGGCACCTGAGGTGATAGTCAAGCAGCTATCTCACCAGGCAGTGGAAGAGGTAAGGTGGGAGGCAGGGAGCAAAGCCGGGAGGCATGATCCAGGCAGAAAGATCAGGATGGGCCAAGTTCTGACCTGAAAGAGTGCTCAGGATCCTAAAGGAAAGCTGTGAGGCCAATGGGACTGGGCTGGAGCAGAGTGGGTAGAGGAGACAGATAAGTGATAGGATCCGATGTCTGTTTCAAGAGGATCCATTTGAGTGCTGTGAGGACACACTGCAGGGACAAGGCCAGAGGTGGGAAGACTGCTGAAGACATTGTTGCAGCAGTCGGGGAGAGAGAGTGGTAGCTTGAACCAGTGGACTTGTGGTGAAGGGGGTGAGAAGGGGTCAGATTGCGAATATAGGCCTTTCTCACTATCAGGAGTCTGTTCCATGAAAGTTAGACAGCCTCCTGGACACCATTCCAGAGTGTCTTAATTTCACGTCATTTAAAATGGGAAAATTGTGATGCTTGACATAGCAACCCCAAATCACCAACAGTTTTCCTAAAGTGAAAGCTAGATTCTGTGGGAAATAGGTGATTTTCATGGCACGACCACAGAATCGGTGTGTAAGGGGAGCTACTTCTAATCCATATGCTCAGTAAGAATAAATGTGTTGTGATAGCAGCACAGGACATATGTAATCCATAAGTGTGTGTGTGTGTGTGTGTGTGTGTGTGAAATGAACTTTAATTTCCAGAAATGAAATGCTGAAACCATTCCCTCCCCATGACAACAGTGTCTGTTGCTTTGAGGCAGGTGTCATGCCTCTTAGTGCCTGGGGCAGTCATGATGAGATCGGTCAGTCCCTTGTACTGGCTATCAGTGATCTTCTATCAATCGTGTGAGGGTAGGTGAAAAAGTGTCCCTCCTAGGGCTCTAGTCCATACATGCATGGTTTACATTTGATCTTAGCCAAAAGGCTGAGAAGCAATATACATTGCATGGTTTATGCCCAACAAAATGTGCTTCCACAAGTCTCTGTAGCCCGGGGTGGGGGGGGTGGGGGGGTGGCTTCAGTCTCATGAGGATGTTTTGTTTTGTTTAAAGTCCAATCCAAACTGTGGCTTCTGAGGGAATCTGCTGGGCGGAGAGGTCAGCTCCAAAGGTGATGGCAACTGCATTTTTGAATCCCAAAGGGACCATCTTCATAGGTTTTCTTGAAGGACCCAAGGCGAGCATGTGGTGGGCTTATTGTGAAGTTTTCAGAAAACTGAAAGCCGCCCTGGTGAGAAGGAGGCCAGGAGAGTTGCATGGAGAATTCCTGACCCTCACAAGTGCGCCTGCTCACTGTAGGAGGGTGGCCAGGGCTGTCCGGACATTGCGTGGGAAACCCACCCCCCCATCCACTCTAGAGCCCTGATCTTGCCCCTCAGTGGTTGTTGTTCCCCAGACTCAAGGAACATTTAAAAGGAACACAGTTTGAGTGCCTCGATGAGGTGGCATAAAGCGAAGGGCTCCGAATTCTTCAGGGCAGACGTAGAGACAGAAACACCACCTTCGGTTGTCTCTAACCCAGATGGAAGCTAGGTCCAGAAACAAAGGCTTCCTGGGACATTTTTTGTTCAATAAGGGTTTCAATGAATTTATCACAGTACTCTGTGACTCACACGAATGTTTGAAATACAAGTTTAATATATAAATATATATGGAAAAGTCCTCTTAAATAAACAAAATGTTAAGTACTCTGTAAACTGTAAAGCTCTGTTTTTTAAAGAGATCTGCATTGTATAGTTATATCTATAATTTGAGCCTCGAATGAGCATTAGTTTGTTAAAAGGCTGATGGTGTTTTGAATATGTAAACCTACATACATGTATATGTAAACATAGGTTGAATCTATTAAATACCAGTTTGGCGTATTAGTTAGTTATTGGCATTTAACAAGTCACCCCAAAATGTAGTGGTTTAAAACAACAAATATTTATGGTTTCCTATCATTTGTGTGGGTCAAGAATTTGGAAGCAGCTTGGCTGGACGGTTTAAGTTGAGAGTCTCCCATCTAAAAGCATGACTGGGACTTAGGAATGTCAGCATGGCTTGCTTACAAAATGCTCACTCCCGTCTTCGGCACTGCCTGTTGGCAGGAGTCCCCAGTCTCTCTCCACAGGCTGCTTGAGTATCCTCACCGCATGGTTGGTAACCTCCCTGAGAGAGTGAGCTAAGAGAGCAAGGTGGAAGCCACTGTGTCTTTTATGACCTAGGGTCAGAAGTCACACAGTGTCATGCTCACACCCCGCTATTGCTTACCCAGATTGGTCCTGCTCCGTGTGGGAGGGGAATCACAGAGGCAGGAAGACCTGGAGATGGGCACTACCCAGCGCCATTGTATAGGGAGGTGTCATTTAGAGAGATGTTGTCTTGCGTAGGCGTGCATTCTGACGTCTAGCTGATAGGGTCTGGTGATGGTTGGGTACTAGAGGTGGGTGGGGGGGAAGAGAGGGGAGGGGATGATTCCAAGGTTTTGGGGTGAACAACCAGAAGGATGAGTCATCTTTCACTGAGATAGTAAAAACTGCAGGAGGAAGTGTTTTTGTTTTGGGATGATAAGTTCGGTTTTGGACATCTGACTTTGAGATGATGATCAGACAGGCGAGGGCAAACGTCCTGTAGACAATTGGAGGCTTGTGCCTTGAGAAGTCAGAAGAGAGATTGGGGCCAGAAATAAAAAGTCAAGTCATCTAAATGGATGGAATTTGAAACCTGTGAGAGGGAATGAGATCACCACAGGATGAAAGAAGACAGAAAAGGGCTCCAAGGACCAAATTCTGGTTTTCTCTCTAGAAAAGGAACTATAAAGGGGGCTCAGAGAGAGCGATCCGTGGGGCCGAAGAAGACCAAGAAAGGAGAGTGGTTTGTGAGAAGCTGAGAGGAGCAAGTATTTCAAGAGACAGGAAACAATCAACCAGATTAGGTGGGTCAGTCCCTGGAGAAGGACATCATACTTGGCAAAGTAGAGGGTCGGCAAATGGAGG